GTTTCCAAGGCAGCAGTATCTCTACAGAGCTTATATATATGGAGCTCTGGTAGCATAGTGCCTAAGGCACTGGACTGCTAACCAGAAGGCTGGTGGTTCAAACCCACAAGCCACTCCTTGGGAGGAAGGTTGGGCATTCCTACTTCCACAGTGATACTGCCTCGGAAACCCAAGGAGGGGTTGCTACGAGTCGGGGCCAACTTGATGGCAAACAACAACAACACAATACATATATATATATGAATGAAATTTAAGAGATCTGATGAGATTAACCTAAAATTAAAAATTTAATAATAATTATAGCTTTATATCTATAATTAATATACTTACCATTGAGTTTTCCATCCCTGGATCTTCGTTTCTTTACTTGTGTTTGGGCTTTTGACACTGAATCTTGCTTCTCAAGCATAATATTTTCATATGATTCTTTATCCTGAGCTACATAAAGATATGCATTTAATCACTAAATAGAAAAGCGTATTTCCAGTGAAATTTTTACATTTCAACTAAATAACAAGCTCACAGCAGCATTTTATCTTATTTTTGTTAAGCTACAAGTAAATTGCTCAATGCTAGATCTGATGTGAAAATTTTGAGAATTTTAAAGAATATGTATTCATACTGTCACATTATTTCATAACTACTCATAGGCATCAAATATATGAAATGAAATATATGAAGTAACTGTCCTCTTTGCTCATTTTAAGGAAGCCAAAGTTCTCTGTGAAATTAGTTCTCACATAATAGCTCCTTCTGGCATGTGCAAAAGACCTCAAGTGCCTGGAGATTCACCACGGATTATCAGCACTCAGTGCTGAAGTGTCACCATTTTCCATGACACCACCTGACATTGAGACATTGTCACATAGGCTATTGTCCGAGATGAAGGAACTTGGTATGCAGCAATTTTAGCCTCTAGTTTTCATAATTTATACTTTTTTATTTACTCATACACCAAATAATAACAATGCATATGCACAATGTTGCTTATAATAGTTATATTTATCACTGAAAAATATTGGAAACCAACTAGATTTTCAAGTATTGCTTTAATAAATTAAAGTTAGTTTTTGTTATTGTTAGGTGCTATCAAGTCAGCTCCAACTCACAGCAACTGTATGTACAGCAGCCTGGTCTTGCATCATCCTCACAATATTTGCTATGCTTGAGCCTATCATCATAGCCACCATGTCAATCCTTCTTGTTGAGAGTATTCTCTTTTTTTGCCGCATAGTGACTAAGAAATTTGACTGCTAACCAGAAGGCTGGCAGTTCAAACCCACCAGCCACTCCTCAGAAGGATAGATTGGGCAATCTACTTCTGTAGAGATGGTACCTTGGAAACCCAAGGAAGGGTCGCTTTCAGTTTAAATCAACTCTATGGCAGTTTTTTTTTTTTTTTTTTCCCCTACTATACCAAGCATCATATCTTTCTCCAGTGAGTGGTCCCTTCAGACAACATGAAGAAAGTACATGAGATGAAGTCTGACCATTCTCATATCTAAGGAGCATTCCAGCTGATTTCTTCCAGAACAGATGTGTTAATTCCTCTGGAAGTCCATGGTGTTTTCAGTATTCTTCACCAAGAATACAATTTAAATCCATCAATTCTTCTTCAGGCTTCCTTATTCATTGTTCAGCTTTCACATGCATATGAGGTTATTGAATACATGATGGCTTCAGTGAGGCACACCTTATCTTCAAAGTGACATCATTGCTCTTTAACACTTGAAAGAGATTTTTTTTTGTAGCAGATCTGTCCAGTGCAATAAGTTATCTGATTTTTTCACTGCTGCTTCCTCTTTGTTGATTATGAATCCAGTAAAGGGAAATTCCTGACAATTTCAATCTTTTCTTCCATTTGCTTTAGCTACTCTCCATTCAAGAACAAGTTTACAAGTCTCTTTTGACATCCATTTCAGTCTTTTTGTCCTTCTGTCTTTTTAATGACCTTTTGCTTTCTTCATGTATGATGTTCTATGTCATTCTATGATATTAATGTCATGTAGGTTAATAATCTACATATTCCAACAATAAAATTAACAAGGAGAAAACATAGACAATTAAAACTGGAGTCAAATTTAAACAAGTGAAATTAAAGGAAAAATAAAAAAGGCATTAATTTAAGAAAAAGGACCTCTGGTGGTGTAGTGCCTAAGGCGTTTGTCTGCTAACCAGAAGGTTGGTGTTTCAAACTCACCAGCCACTCTGTGTAAGGAAGATGGGGCAACTTACTTCTGTAAAGATTTATCATCTCGAAACCCAGTGGGGGCCACTATCAGTCAGAATTGACTCGAAGACAGTGAGAATCCAAGAAAAACATGACACACTATGTTCATATATAAAAAATACACACATACACACACATACACTCTTAGTCCCTCAGTCTTGGGCAAGAGTGTGTGTGGATTGCAAACAGATCATGAAATCTTCTTAGTAGATTTATTTATACAATTGTTATGAGGTAAGCAATTCTGAAACAATTGTAGAAACCATATAGAATTCAGCCAAAACATAAATGAATTGATATTTTTTAGGGTCAAAATTTATACTGTTGAAGAAAAGCTATATACATATGAAATGGAGAAGGGTAAGAAAACCCCATGGGAAGAATTGAAGATGTTAGTGAGAACACATGATGTGAAAAATATGTCTATGTACACATATATTCATGCATATAGCACATTACATGTTTATATGTGCATCTTTATGTGTATAATATATATGGGTGTATTTGTGTGTTTCATTTTATCTGTATATACTGAGGAGTCTGGCTCCAAGCCAAAATTCTATGTGTACTTTTAGGCCTAATCATAGGCAATTACAAAGTCTTTGCCTGGCAGGCCTCATGGGTGAAAGCTGCCCTCCCCACACCAAATGTGGTGCACAGCCACTGCGCTGAAGTCTCTGGAGGGAGTTACCGTCAAGAACTCAGCCTTCCCATCTCCAGCCATGCTCTTGTACATATCTGCATTCCTATCTTAGACACATACATTCAGAGGCCTCTTTATAGTGAGACCAGGAAAAATAGAGGGTTGGTGGAATACTGTTCAGGTTTCTCTGTCAAGACCATCTTGTCCGACTTTGAAGACTCTTCTCCGTTCTGACTCACTATTCTGGTTTTTGTACTCATAGTCCTTCTCCCTCTTTTCCCAAACCCTAAGCCCATTAAACGGTAGGTGGCTTTTTGGGGGGTGTCTCCTTCCATAGTAAGACTATCCCCTCTCAGCTTGTGCTGACATCTCTAACCCTCTCCAAAGCTTTTTCTGGAGCGAAATGGAACACTAAGACAGCCAGTACCCATTCCTGTTTAGCCTCTTGCTTATCCTATCACAGTAAGTAAACACACTGCGATCGAGTCAAGTCTGCGATCGAGTCAAGTCTGAGATCAAGTCAAGTCTGACTCATAGTGACACTATAGGACAAAGTAGAACTGCCCCATAGGGTTTCCAGGGCTGTCAATCTTTACAGAAGCAGACTGTCTCATCTTTCTTCTGTGAAGTGGCTGGTGGGTTTGAACTGCTGACCATTTGGTTAGCAGCTCAATGATTTAACCACAGTGCCATCAAAACTCTACACAGTAAGTGAATAAGGACTTAATTGTTGCTTTCAATTTGGATCTTTATCTTAATTGACCCCCTCAACACCTGGCAGCTGTCTTTCTGAGAAATTGGCAAAGGGATCATTGCATCCAATGAAGCATTCTCTCTCTCTGGAAAACAAAAAGGTTTAAAGATCCCAGGTGCCACTTTAGGAAGGCAATATTGAAGTTGTGGGGTTCTTTTGAGAGGGTTAGTGGGTCACTTGCAAGAATCTGAGGGTACTACAGTGTGCTTCACCAGAGAGGTCAATGGGTCCAGAAAGTGCAAACAGACAATTTGAGGTGCTCCTGTGTAGTGGATATTTTACAAAAAGGTTTTTGGTTCTCAGGGAGATCACTGGTCCTTTTCTTAAGTCTCCATTTCCCCAGCCAAGCTCTCCCATGGTTCAAATTAGAGAAGTCAAAGAAAGATGGGAAACAATTCCTAGGCTACTATTTCCAAACTGAAAGTCATTGGAGATTCTGCTGTGTTGTATCAAATAACTATTTTTAGCTCTTAGCTGGTTCCTGGTGCCACCAGACAGCCTGCAACAGTGAGTCTTTAGACTTGTGCCTTTAATTCAAAACGAATGTAGAGCATAACTCAATCACTTCCTTATCACTTAAAATCTTGATGGTTGAGACCTTAGAGACTTGATTAGCTCACCTCCAGGATGAGAGGTGATCCTGTTAACCCTTTCATGACTTTTGGAACATATTTCACCCATCTATATTCTCAGCCTCTCAGGTTTCTTGGGAAGCTGCTATCCCAGCTGTAGTATGTGCTGTCACCTAGTGGAAACCTGTATAACTGCACAAATCTGAAGAAACAGGCCTCACTCCACTAATACTACCATCAGGGTCCATTGGGACACATGTGTCCCACATAATTGTGTCAAAATCCACATAAACTGAACATTTTTTTCCCTTGATTTAAGCATGTCTTGCCTAAGGCATTTGACTGCTAACCAGAAGGCTGGCAGTTCCAATCTACCAGCTACTCCTCAGAAGGAAGATTGGGCAATCTACTTCCGTAGTGATACCACCTCAGAAACCCAAGGAGGGGTCTCTATGAGTCGAATCTGACTCAACAGCAATGAGTTTGTTTTTTTCTTGTTTGTCTGTTCGTTTACTGAAAACACAATGTATCAACGAAATATTCAAAGAAGAAAATAATCCAGTCATGAATGAGTTAAATTTAGTAATGAAGAGTGAAACTTTGTGGGCATTTTATCACAGACTCTCACTCAGTGTGCCCTGAGATCAGCCATTTTGAATGATAGGAGAAGGTAGAGTGAAGTGAGATAAGAGGACATGGCCACCTGAAATCTTCCTCAACTAGGTACTATATGTGTACCACCTATGATAAGTTCTCTGCCACTAAACAACTTATTTGGATCTCCCTTGCATAGGCTATAGTGGCCCTGTAAGCCACTCTTGTGATCCCTTGTGTCTATAAGAGAGAGTGGGACTACAGATAATGAGATTGTTAACCAGGATCAGATTTCTAGGTTTCTTTGTGCCTCTCCTATTCATTATGGATCTCAATTAAACCTCCTAGTAAGATCTGGTCAATCACTCAGTGACACAACCTGGTTCTTAACTGATACTTCCTGGCCTGCCAAAAGCAGCTACTGCCAAAATATCAAAGATTATCAGCACAGAGAGCAATGAAAAAATGGTAATCGGGTACTCTCTCAAGAAAATCCCACCAAAGACCTTTGCAAAAAGATGAGATTTATAGGAACCTCACCAAGGAGCTTATGATAAACTGCAGGTGGTAGAGGCCTCACTATGGTCTATAAGTGACAGCCCTTATGACTAATGCAAGTTCCATTTCCTCAGGGCCTCCCTGAGA